GTTCGTTTGGCGACTCGCTTCCTCCTCTTCATGGCATGAAACAGGTTCCCACCACGAGTCTTCTCTGAGTCCATCACACCTGCAAAAAGAGCTCGACATCAGGAAAATGAAAGAACAAAATAAAACAAAAGGCAAGCCTCTGAGTAAGGAACCTACCCGAACTCAGACCGGCCTCGATGAGCTTGGCCTCCGTCAGATAATGGTGGCATTTTAGCTCAAGCTGTGCCCATTCCCGGAGGCCCTTTGCCGTCTTCCTATCAAGCGTAACACTGGCATCAGGGACAACCATCCCCCACCCAGTTTGGAACGGCCACCCCAATGCACTTCGCACCCCGAAGTAGTCCCGTTTCCACGCCGGGACCTTGTTGGGAAGATCGTGTAAGAGCTTAAACCCCGGGCGAGGAGACAGGTAATACGCCCGCCTACGCCCGGGAAGGGGACCCGCTTGCTTCTTAAGCATCAGAATGAAAGAAAAAATCTCCAAGTCTAAGGGCAAGATCTGTTCGCAAAATAGGGAGATTNGGGCAAGATCTGTTCGCAAAATAGGGAGATTGTCCCCACCAAGTTACGAATAGAATTCGGGTGAAGCTGGCCGACAGTAACGCCGAAGTGGTTCATGACCTCGACAATAAGGGGGTGGAAAGGCATGCGCAACCCAGCAGCGAGCTGCTCTCGGAATATCACGATCTCATCAGGACCGTGTTCCCAAGGGAAACTGCCCGAGGGTATAAAATAGGTGTACTCCCTAGGCAAGTTATACTGGGTAATAAGGGAGTGAAGCCCCTCAGGCGTCATGGTCGAGGGCCCAAACTTGTCTAACGTCCGACCTCGACGGGAGGAGAACGCCAAATTACCTGAGGCGATTCGGCCTATGGGTTCGAACTCTTCCTCGAGCTCTACCTTGGGTTCACTAGGGCTGTTGGGGGATGTAGCTCGGTTCGTAGAACCTGCATCTGACCCACTCGAAGAACTGTCTGAGCTATCCGAGCTAGACATCGGGAGGAGAAGGATCAGGAAGAAAGTAGACTCACCCAGAAAGAAGGCAAACAGACTACAGAAACTTGGACGCGAGCTCAAGAAGCAAAACGCAGGAGTGACAAAGTGACTGGGGTCCCCCACTATTTATACCCACAGTAACCAAAAATCAACGGTTCTGGTCGAAGCAAATCCAACGGCCCGCAGTCGCGCTGACCGCACGTCTCCTAAGACCGAGACGTGACTGGCCGCACGTCTTTTTAAACTGAAAAAGCACCAGCGCACGTCTCCCCGCATTAAAGGCAGCAACGGCGCGTTTTTTCAAATTTGAAAAGATGCCCGCTATCACGTCTCCCAACGGCGTGTTTTTTGAATTTTGAAAAAATGCGCACTGTCACGTCTGTTAGCATTTAGAGACGGATTGGCGCATTTCCCAACTTTTTGGCGCTCGAGAAACCCGGAAAAATCCTGACGAACGCGCACTTCGCGCTATCAGTCAAAACCAGTTCGAAGTACGAGTCGAATCCACCTGCCACCTCGCGAACTCCCCGCGCCAGGGCAAGTCCCTTTGCGCGAGGAGTGGGGGAAAATTGATGAAGGAAGATTTGGCCTGACCTCGTAACCACTCAACACGTGGCAAAGGCAACAGCTCGACACAACAGCACGCTTAAGGCGTAAGCTCTGAAAGGAGGAACCAGTAGTCCGAACTCCCTACAAGGAGCCCGAGCTCTCCCTTAGACCCCGAGCCTTACAAAATAACCCGAACTGGCCCGCCCCATGGCAGTTTGGGCCACACCTCCATCCGAACTCAAGACTTCACCTCGCACACCACTCCATTACTTCGCCTCCAGGACGTCGAATTGACAACCGTACCGTACCTGACAACGAAGGAGTCCGTATCCTGAGGTGGCGCACCTGACTGACTTGGGATCTGACGCTTGATAGCCGCACTTCAACGACCACCTGCCACCGTCACCTGCCATCGCCATCTCCAGTTACAGAGACGGCTCCGACAAAGAGAGCAGTGGCGGTTCTGCCCCAACAAAGGTGATGACACCCGAACTGGCAGAAGCGCAGGGGTAATCATACCCGACCTGACAAAAGCTTAGGAGTGAGTGCGTGAAGTGGTTATAAAAGGCCCCCTTCCCCCCAAGAAGAGGTATGCGAACTTTGCGCCATCTGGTTTTATCTTGCCTTTGAGGAAATACTAACTTGAGCTTCGGAGCATTATCACCGGGTTCTTCCCCGGAGATTACTCTCTTTCCCCTTCGTTTCAGGCACCTTCTGCTTCAGCCCGAGGCAAGATCTTTGACAGCTAGAACCCGCCGGATTGCGCACCATCAGGAACCATTCATCGAGGCCTCTAGTGTCTTTTCATGCCTAAAGGTAGGATCCTCAGCCAATCTCAACTCCAAGAGATCCTGATTTACCCTCATTGCCAAATTTGGTAACATCAATTTGGAGTCCTAATCTAGCAGCTCGTACACCTTGCCGTCTAACTCAGAAAACATGTTAATAAGGGAAACTTACTAAAGATTGCGAAAAATGAAGTGAAAAAATTAGCTGAGGTGAACTGCTTGACCTACTCAAGCATAATGAAACTGAGAAGCAAATAGCGAGAAATTTAGTCGCTTACCCTCATCTTTTATGGGCAATTCAATGCTTAGGATCTATTTGGTATGGGCAGCAAGGATTGTGTTGCTTCATCTCCCCACATTGTTGGACGCCATGCGGAGAACCTTAGAACCCAAAATGGCACTATAACAAAAGTGTTGATTCTCCTTTGCCCAATACTAAGAATTTTTCGAGTTCATATCAACCCCCCACAACACATCCCAACCGTGTATTGGTCTCATGTGGCCTTGATCTTAAAAGTGGGGCATGTGATACTACCAAATTATTTGGCCTAATCAGTGCATGACACATGGTGGCCTCGAAGGGCAGCCTTGTCTTTTCATAGGCTTTAGTAGAATTTCTCCCCTAGGCTTAATGGTGAGCCCTCTCTGACTGTTATAACCTCGGACGAGTGCTCGGACTCATTAACGTGGTCTCTACTCTTAATGGAACAGATAGTCACTGCAAGCCAAAGTGAGGAGACATTACAAAGCCTTACTAATGATGCATTCAATAGCGCACCACCCATAAGTAGGCCGGATAATAGTAGTTATCTCTCACCCCGATGCCTTGGCATTTTAACACCTTGACTAACTTAATCATCTGAGTCTCTATCCCTACAAGTGAAACCCTTGCTTAATCTCAACTCAAAGAGTTCCCAATTTACCCTTGTTGCCAAATTTGATAACATCAATTTAAATTCCCAATCTAGTAGCTCGTACACCTTGTGGCCTAACTCAAAAGACATATTGAAAAGGGAAACTTACCAAAGACTACATGAAATGAAGTAAGAAGATGACGATGGGGATGGCGTCGCTTTGTCTCCCCATGGAACTTGAATGACACCCTATCAAATGTGTTGATTCCTAAGCCACCATTTTTCATCCTAGGCTTGACGATTTGATGAATTGGAACCTTACCATTTCATGTTTATTTGACCATTAACAACTTTGCAATGGAGGGATGGACTTCACACTATTTCCTTTGCTCAAAGCCACTTCGAGCCTAACAGCCTAGTCTCACGTGGCATTGAAGTTATTTGGCCCAATCATCATGTGACACGTAGCATTGGACTTAGAAGTGAAGGTATGTACAAAGTTATTTGGCCCGATCATCATGTGACACGTGGCAACCTTAGTGGTCAGCCTCATCTTTTCACAATTGTGGGATTTTCCCCAAGCTTAATGACAAGTCCCCTTTGAATATTACAACATTCGTTGAGTGCTCAAGCTTATTAAATGCTAGAGTAACACTCAACCACCTGGTCTCTACTCTTAATGGAATGGGAAATCACTGCAACATGATGCTAGAGTAGCTTTCACCCTTGGAATCATACCCTGAGGCTTTTGACATTTTTTCTTGCTTGAAATAAAATACTTTTAAAAGATGTAAAGACTTGAACCCAATCACTTATATAGTTACAAAAACAACACTTTGAAAATGTTGGTTAGTTGCTTAACGTTGTAAATGCCTCTTTCTATGGATAACAAATCTATCGTTTTGTTTTCTTTTATGGCACATCGGTTAAATATAAGAGTTACAACCATACCTCTGCTATATTTAGTAGAAACTTCTCACAATGATTAAATAGAAAATCCATCTCCTCTAAGTAAGTACATTTATCCATGTTCTTTTATTTTCCAACTAAATAAAGAAATAACCATTTTAATCATAAAAATCTATTATTAAAAGGAAAATTTGTATCCCATTCAAGTGTTAACAAGTTATTCACCCACCTAAAAAATAGGTATCACTTACTCGAATAAGTAATATCCACGAAAATAAACTTTCCCTAATCTCCACATAAATATAGAAAAAGAACATGAATTTCTTGGTAACTTGATCAATGAGAATGGGAATCAAAATCCCACTCACCAACTTTCCCCCTCTCAAAATCCAAAAAAAAAAACCACCTCTTAGAATTTTAACTTTTTGTAGATATTAAATTTCTTATTTATCACATACATAAACAAAATATCCTGAGAGAATTAATTTTATAATAGTTAGTGGCATTATAACTATTTGAAAATGGATGGAAGGCAGACGTGTATATATATATATATATATATATATATATATATGCAGGTACAATCTCTTCATGATATTATAAGAAGGGATTCAATGCTATCATAATAAGGGATTCATAAAAGCTCCATGTTGTTCACTACGACTCAAAGAAAAATCACACTACCAACCTCTAAACAACTACGATTTGAAACAAGACCGAGCACTGCCAGACCCCTGCTTAAGGTGTTTAGTGCTGGAAATAAAAACCTTAAAGAAAGCAAAGCATCAGTCGAAAAGGTAATATTAGATTTAAAAAATAAAAAAATCAGTTGGTTTTCATCTTTTAAAGCAGAATTTCTTTGGCAAACTGTTTTAAGCTAATGACCAAGAAAGAAAAGAAAAAATCAAAGGAATGATACAACAATGCATGAGATGTCATCACGGCTGTTCCTTGATAAAGCCTCTTCAATCAATTGCTCAGCTGCTTCTTGAGAGTCATTCATGTCTCTTATGCAGTCCACTGCCTCTTGGTTGGAGATCACCTGCTCAAACATGCCCACAATTTTTAATCCTCCATTCACTTTGTTAGCAAGTAATTTGAGAAATGTTCATAAAACCTGGTTTCCACGCAACCAAGTCTAAACTCGTTGTGACATCTACCAAATAATAAGACTACAAAGACCACCACTAGACAACCAAAGAAAGAACAACCTTATTTATATAAGAGGTCAGAAACCAAGAAGGCAGAAAGGAAAACCACTCCCCATGTTACAGAGAATGCTAGGGAAATGTATACAAGGCTTGTAACGGTTTCCCTAGCTTTCCCTACTTTCTTTTTTTTCCTTCAAACCAAACAAAACATTAAGCTATGTTTAGTTTGATAGAAATAAGAGCTTTCCCTCAACTTTCTATTTCTCTTATTTAAGCATTATTGTTTTGAAACCATCTTGAAATGGTTTTGAAACACAATATGACATGATTTCTCCCATATGCCAAAACCTCATGGTTCTATCCACAATACACACAATAGTATAGAACACCTTTTAAAGCTTGTGGTTTTAATCATGTGGTCTCTCTCAATCACTCCACAATGGAGCCCAGTGGATTCAAATACATCACAGCCTCAAACAAATTACCTTAATCACAAGGAAATAATGGTCATTGATATTAATTGCCGTTTTTGTTGGACAGTTTCAACTATAAGATGATAAATGGAGGGAATGGAATCTTGTAGCTATAAGAACCCAATAAATAACACAAAAAGGAAACAACCTTTATGTTAGAGGTTGAATTCAAAAATTAAGGGCTTGTTCGTTTTAATAAAATTTAGTCTCATAATATTATAATATATAATATTTTATGTATGCTAATGAAATTTAGTTTTAATCAAAATTTTCTATTTTGGTTATTTCGGTTTTCTTGTAATTCGATTTCGGCTCAATTTTTATTTTTTATTTCAGTTTTTAAAATTTTGATTTATTCGGTTTCACTTTTAACCAAATAAACCGAATGCTCACCCCTAATGTGGGGTCCATGGAAAGTTTATTTTCACTTACCCAAGTGACACCCCATCTCCTAGGTGGATAAGTAAGTTTCCACCAGGGGGGGCATCCCATGGATAAATGCATTTATTTGGATAATTATTTCCCAGGAAACACTTACTTGGACAAATGCATTTATTTTGATAATATTTCCCAGAAAACACTTACTTGGACAAATAACTTCCTGAAAAATGAACACGGCATAAGACTTATTTAATATACCCTGCTTACTTTTGTGTTTCTTCTTTTGCATGCAAACTATAACATTAGCATTTTATTATTATTATTATTATTCCTCTTTCATAAACAAAGAGATTAAAAAGGAAAATTCAAATTGAAGTAAACAATCATAAATCATCAACTCACCTTCCATAAACCATCACTAGCTAGGATGATGAACTCCACATCCATACCTATGGTCTCAATAATGATATCTGGTTCTGAAGTTATATGTTCCTTTAAACTTCCATCTCCAAATGCCCTTGACATTGCAAGTTGTCCATCAACTCGTGGCACATTCCCTGAACTCATTACAAACTATTAGTTTCGTCTTAATGACAATCTAGTCAGTTACTTTTGGCTGAGAGACACATCTGAAACAAATACAGAGAACTGAGAACTATACCTTATTGTAAACCTTATTTTCTGATAATTTTTTAAAATTCTTTTGATTATATAAGGGAACACTCAATGACTAAAGATAATCCAATAATCAAGAAAGACCTTTTGAATGGGAATGATGTCTAACGTTGAATTCGAATCTTCACCTCTTCCGAAAATTACTGCTAACCATTGGTCATATGATTTACCTCTTCTAAATTTGAATGGAAATGGAAACAGTAATGAAAGTAAAAAAAATCAAAAGAAAAGAAAATGCAGACATTTGTATATCAGATATATAGAAGCCTAATTAAGAAGGCATATGCAATGATATTCCAACGACTCTATAAACATGTTTATATACTATAATTAGCTAATTTTTAACCTAATTAAGAAGGCATATGCAATATCCAATTTTCTAGTGGCTGAATCTTATCAATAGACTTAGTTGATGTTAGGTTGTAGGCAAATTTGTTCTTAGGGTACAATAAAGCCTTTGGTAAATAACTAGAATCTACAAAGCTGAATCCTCCAAAGAATCCTTCTATGAGATCCCAGTAGTTGGACTTGAGAGAAATAAGGGTTCGTTTGGTTCGCGAGAATAAGGGTTTATGTGGAGCAAGGTTCAAAGTATCAATATAGGCTGATATGCCGGTAGGGTGTATTAGCATGTATTGATGCATTTTTTTTATGTTTTATTTATTTTTTTTCAAAACCGTTTCAGAGGGGTTGGTTTAAGTCCTGGCTACCCTTTGAACCATGGTCTGACTTGATACAATCCCTATAGGGATGTATTGGGAAGCCACCGACACGATACATATCGGTCAATATGGGCCGATACTTTGAACCTTGATGTGGAGCAACTTGCAAATAAATACATGGAACAATTGGTTAAGAAGAAACTTCCCAAAAAGGAAAGAAAGGATGAAAACACACAATCCTATGGAAACATTCAACTTTCTTATTTGTTTCTTTTTTTTTTTACTTTCCTAGTCTTAGTAGAGTTCTTATTTGTTTGTTTTCTTTTAGATGAGTTAGGAAATGTGTAGGATTTGTCTCCTTTCCTATTTGTTTCCTTAGGAATTGGTTTCCTAGTTTGAGTAAGTTTGTAATTCAAGGCCTATAAAAGGGACCCTAAGCCTTATAGGCAGTGAATTTCTTCAAAGAGTTTCTCTTATTTTTTGGTACATTACCAGAGTTTCAACCTAGTGGATTCTAGGTCTTTTCTTATCAACGTGTAACATGCATGATATCAAGCTCAACCACGATTTTCGTCCTGCGTCAGTTGGTATTAGAGCATGTTATCTTGCCTGTTTCATCAGAACTCTTTAATATCCTGATGGTTGGTTGCAGAGAAGATGCTCACTCTAATGACGAACATGGAGTAGAAGCTCTATGGGATACGTTGGAGGCTCAAGAATGTCAAATGAACGAAAGATTGGATCGCACAACTGAATTGCCAGAGGAGATACGTACCACACTTATAAGTCTCAGCCTTAGCAACAAAGGACGCGAAGACAGAGGTAATGCTCATGAGAAAAATCAACCTGTAGAGAGACGTGCTCCTGTTTGTAGGCAACAACGAGTTTGGGAGGATGATTCTGACAATGAAGGAGAGTTTGAAGAGCCCTACGAAGTGGTCAAGCCATGAAGAATTGGGGAATACAAGATCAAAGTCAAGATTCTTTACTTTCAATGGGAGTTTAGACATTGAAGGTTTTCTTGATTGGTTGTCTGAGGTAGAAAAATTCTTCGACGTCATGGCCATAGCAGATGATCGGAAAGTTCCTCTTATTGCTTACATATTAAGAGGAGGGGCAGGAGCTTGGTGGCAGTGCCATCAAGAGAATAGGGCATTGCAAGGGAAGCATCCCATACGAGAGTGGCACGTGATGAAGCAACTATTGAGAGGAAGATTTCTGCTTGCAAATCATGAATAGATTATGTTCCAACAATTTCAAAACTATGTGTAGGGCAAGCAAATGGTGGCAGAATACACAGAGGAGTTTTTGAGGATGTAGACCCACTGCAATCTTAGAAAGATAAAAGATCAATAGATCGTCAAATACATCAACGGCCTAAGGTATGCCATACAAGATAAATTGGGGATGCAGGCTATATGGTCTATTGATGAAGCCCCAAATCTGGAAATTAGAGCAGAGAGGTTGCTAGTGCTTCAATCAATAAGCAGAACATAGAATTATAAGCGCACACAAGCAGAGCCCTAAAAGTCTTCTACCGCCAAGGATAAGCAGCCCTAGGTTGCTAATCAGACCCGACCATCTGAAGCAGAATTTAAAAAGACTCAAGCAGGGGATGGCTTGAAACCCCAGGTTGGAGCTTCTACTAACAGGACTAGCAATAACCCTTATGCCAAGTCAGTGCCTAATGGTCCTTGCTACAAGTGCAGTGAGTACGGCCATAGATCTAGTGATTGCCCTCTATGGAAGGGTGTTGTTCACATGGTAAATGAGTAGGATTGGGAGGAAGACAACCGTGATCATGATATAGACATGGACAAAGGTGATTTCGATGATATGGTCGGTGGGGAGAGGATGGTAAACCAGTTACTTGTGTGGTGCAGCGAATCCTTTACACACCAAAGGAGGAGGAGATCTCATAGCGATGGAAGATCTTCTAGTTTAAGTGCTCGGTCAATCAAAACCAAAAGTTTTGTGACCTGATTATAGACTACTGCAACTGCGAGAATTATGTGTCCAAGGTGTTGTTGATCACTTGTAGTTGACAATAGAACCACATCTGGCCCCTTATCAAATCGAGTGGATCAAGAAGGGCCTAGCCATTAAGGTGACAGAAATATGTAAAGTTCCTCTTGTTCTCCCATATAAACACATAAATGTTCTGTCTACCCCTATGTGTAGAATCAACACCATATTGCTATGGACTCCCCAACAACACATGACATGCATCCATATCTACTACATCACACATGACCCAAGGGAGGCTCACCCAAAGCTTCTAAAGTGGAGGGACAGTCTTTCCTTTCAATATCTTCATTGGAACTTGAGTTTTTTGTAGACACCAAGGAGGCCAAAGAGATATTTGCTTTGGTGATCAAGGGTGAAGCAGAGTCTGATCATGAAGTTCTAGAGTAGGTGCAACCCCTGTTGGACGAGTTCAATGCCCTAACTATGGAACCAGACCATCTACCCCTTATGTGTGGCATCCAACACTAGATTGATTTGATTCCTAATACCGCCTTACCAAATTTTTCGCATTACCAGATGAGCCCAAAGGAAAGCAAGATCCTAAGAGAGGAAGTGGAGCTTGCTACGAAAAGGGCATATTCGAGAGAGCATCAACCCATGTGCAATACCTGGATTGTTGACACCAAAGAAGGATGGAAGCTGGAGGATGTGTGTTGATAGTCATGCCTTCAACAAGATCACCATCCGATACAGATTTCTCATCCCTCGGTTGGATGATATATTGGACCAATTGGGAGGATCCAAGATGTTCTACAAAATTGACTTGAAGAGCGGATATTATCGGATCCATATCAAGCTTGGCGATGAATGAAAAATGATGTTCAAAACTAAGGAGGGCTTCTACGAGTGGTTGGTGATTCCCTTCAGATTGCCTAATGCTCCTAGCACATTCATGTGGCTGATGAATCATGTACTCAAATCCTTTATCGGTGGGATTGTAGTGGTCTATTTTGATGATATTCTAATCCATTGCAAATTTGAGGGAGAGCATATACATCTATAGGAAGTACTGATGGTACTATAAGAGAATGAGCTCTATGTCAATATGAAAAAGTGCCACTTCATGATTGATAGAGTGATGTTCCTTGGTTATATAGTTGGTGCTGAGGGGATACATGTAGATTATCAAAAGATCTAAGCTATTCGGGATTGGCCATCTCCAAAGACTATGACAAAGGTACGCAATTTTCATGGTTTTGCCACTTTTTACAATAGATTCATCCAAAATTTCAGTAGCATTGTGGTCCCCATCACCAACTGTTTGAAGAAAGGGAAGTTCGAGTGAACAGAACAGGCTGAAAAAAGCTTTATTAAATCAAGGAGAGGTTATCTTCTGCACCAGTACTAGCTTTACTAGACTTTGACAAAGTCTTCGAGCTAGAGTATGATGCCAATGGGGTTGGAATCAGTGGTGTTATTGTGGATGCTTTTGTTGGACTCAGTGTTCCTATCTTATCTTATCTTATCTCTTAGCTAGATTCAGTGTTCCTATCTTATCTCTTAGCTAAATCCAGTGTTCCTATTAATTAGGTAGTAGCATTATTATTTCTTATGTCTTTTAGAAAGTTTTTTAATGTTCTTTTTAGAAAGTTTCCTAATGTTTTTTAGAAAGTCTCTTTTTAGAAAGTTTCTTAATGTTTTTTAGAAAGTTCTTTTTTAGAAAGTTTCCTTAAGAAGGATTCTTGTAATTCCTATTTAAAGGAGCAGATGTTATTCAATAAAATTATCGATAACTTCAGTCAAGAAAGAGCAGGGGAGAGTTGGTGATCTCTTTAACAAATCACCATAAAGGCGCTAAAGATAGTTTCCTAGAGAAAAGGGAGAAACAAGGGAAAATAAGAAGTTTTCCCCATTAACCAACCTGTGACGAGATCCTATTCGCGGGGCCCTTAACAGGTGTTCTATCTCAGGAAGGTAAACCAATAGCCTACTTCAGTGAGAAATTAAACGAGATACGACAAAAGTGGTCAACCTATGAACAGGAGTTGTACGCAATTATTCGAGCTCTTAAGAATTGAAAGCATTATTTGATTTAGTAGGAATTCGTGATCTATTCAGACCACCAATCATTGAAGTATTTCAGAAATCAACGGCACCTCAACAAGATGCATGCCAGGTGGGCAACTTTTTAGAGCAGTTTCATTATATTCTCAAGCATAAATCTTGCGCTTCAAACCGTGTAACTAATGCATTGAGCAGACGCTCCACTCTATTCATCACTATAAGTAATGAAGTTGAGTTCGAGTGCTTAAAGGAGCTTTATGATACTCATTGACCAAGCATATTCTTTTTTCAGATTTATGTGGGGACCAAGGAAAATTTATTTTCTACCCAGGAAAGTGATACCCATCTCCCGGGTGTTTAGGTAAATAACATTCCCACCTGAGAGGCTTGGATTGGACAAAAATGCCCCTTTTAATAATAGATTTTTATGGATAAAATGACCATTGTCTTAATTTCCTAGGAAATAAAAGAACATGGGCATTTACCTAAGTAAATAGCTTACTGAAAAACGAACAAAAACTTCATATTATAATAATATATAGATAGAGGCAATTGTTTCCTACTCCTTTAGAGTTTAGAAGGTCATGAAAGAAAAGGAATGAGACAATTAGTTAGATTGTTATACCTCGTTTTTTGGATACAAAACCACCCTTGCTCTCAATGGCATCTTTCTCTTTTTGTGGCTCATGATCCACAGATAGCTGTTTGGCCACACCTTTCTTGCATAGAACTGCACGAGAGTCTCCCACATTGGCTACAACCAACTTCTCCCCATTGATCAAAATTGCCGTTACTGCAGTTGAACCACCCCGCCGACCACCTACTCTCTCTAAAACCTCATCGTCAGTTATCCCAAATGCTCTTCGGATTGCACTTTTCATATCCATCAAGAAACCAGGCTTCCAATGGAGCACAGCAGAATGAGAGAGCTTAAGATCAATCACCCAATTAACAAATCTAATAGACAAGAGAAAGCGCCAACAAATTTAAAAATGAAACTGCTTGTACCTCATCCAATATGTTGTCAAATAAGTGGCTCTCTAAGTATTTTGGAACAGCACGTCCTGAATGTCCATCAAAGATTGCATACAACCCCAATTCAGCACCTTTCATTCTTCTAGTTTCTGCTACAACATAATCTTCCATTTCATGATTCATTTTTCCTTTGACCAAATGGAATCCATGAGTAAAGCACCTTCCTGATGGATTTCTCTTAGCTTTTTTCCTTTCATTGTTCTTATCTTTCCTTGTTCCATTGCTTGTTTCCTTTTCATCAGTTCTTATTACACTAAAATCATTTATAACTTTTTCCTGCAAATTAAGAAAAACACTCAAACCTTAGAAAGATGCACAAAGTTTTGAATGTTTCTGTTAAACTAAATATAGAAAAAGCCATGAAAGGAAGTGCATGTTTAATTTGGACAATTTCTTAATTACATTATGGATAAAAAGAATTAAACCTCCCCTAGTGTTTCTCCTAAGTACTTATACCTCCCCAATAATTTCTCAAAGGACTTAAAAGTTAAAACCTCCCATTTAAAATGATGTTACTAGACAAATAAAACCCCTCTTTATTTTTCTCAAAATTCCACTTTTGCCCTTTAAATATTATAAAAATAATTAAATAAAAAAACCTGAAAAAAAACAAAGTTTCCCAATGTCCTGAGAGTGCTGCATTGAGTATCATCACAGTTGGGTTTGAGGTGGTTAGTGGCGGAAAGATCAAAGAGACCACCCTTCAGGGACAATGAAGCTTGACCTCAACCCAGAAAAAGGAGAGAGAGAGAGAGTTGCAGAGAATTAAGCAGCGATGGCTTCGTCCACGCTGCAGTCCTTAAATTCATCCATCAAAGAACTGGTTTGCTGCTCAACACATGATGTTGGCTAAGGAAAGAACTGGTTTGAAAGTTTCAAAATTTGAAAATTTGAAAAACGCTGATTGAGCAATTCGATGGTTCACTTTGAAAATTTGAAACACATTAAAGGGCAAAAGTGTCTTTTTAATGGACTCTGGCATTTTTGATGGACATGATGTTTTAAGTCCAATTAGAAAGCACAAGAAAGGTATAAGTATTTATGAGAAAACGGGAGGATTAAGTCAAAAAAAAAAAAAAACCCGCTGAGATGATGATATCCTAATCTTACCTACCTTATATAAAAATGAGAATAGAAAATGATAATCATCAAGAGACCTGATTTTCCAGTTACATTATTGCCCCTCCTTAGTTATAAAAATTCCAAAACTACCGCATTTATTACTTCTATTGGCTTTTCACTACTTCTGTATGATATTAGGTTATGTGTTTAAAATGATTCTTAATCACTGTAAATTAACAACTTCATTATTTTTTTGGGGTTTCATTTGATCCCACATTAAAACAACACTTCGATCAGACCATTATAATCATTTCTTATTTAAAGTTTCAGTTCTCCATGAAAGAAGGGCATGGAATTGAATATCAATTGCATGCAAAATCAAGCATTAATAAAAACAAGCGATCATGGTGATTATTAGCAAAAGAAAAAAAAAAAAAAAACTGCAATAAACAGTAGACTTCTCTCAAGGAAGATGACGCACCGTCATACTCATTCTAGTCTGAGAAACCTGTTTGATGACGACCCAAAAGAAAACCGAAGCAAACTCTTCTTCTCTTTCTTCAGTTGGTATGGTAGCTCTACTTATTTGCGCTCTGTGCTGTAAGACAAGTGCTGTGTACTCGTATTCATATTCAAGTCGGTGGCACCGTCAGTCATTAAAACGTGTCGAAAGGAAGAACTCGTAGCTCACCACCTGTTGCAATATGAAAGCACATGGTTTTAAAAACTTACAGGTTTCAATGGGAGCAGAGGGAATCGATTAATGGCTCCTCCAATGGATGATCTTCGTTGGTTCTCTTCGTTTTATTGTATACTCTGTTTTTACGTTCTGGGTTTGCCTGTTGTTCTGTATAGCCAACAGCAACAACCATTTCCGCCATTACCAACAATGGTCTAACTGCTTACCCCCTTCGGCCCTCACCAAGAATTAATGGTCCAATCCCAATCCAAGTGGATCCAAGGTAGATCCAGTCTAGACCAACTGCTTCAACATGATCCTGTTCCGCGTTCTAGGCCCATTAATGCTGGCATAGGCACGGGACAGACTAAGATCTAGCCTGGCCCAATCTAATCAACCTGCTTCAGACTAAGCCCAAGCCAAGGAACCAGACAAGTAGACTTATTTTGACTGCTATTTCAGGCCTAATGAACACCCATTTTTCAGTGATTTTTGGGTATTTGGGCCATATTAGGGACATCTTAAACCTCTTATCTAGCATAATTGTTTGCCCAATGAAGGCCTAGTTTAGGGAATTTTGGTTCTATTGTGGGCCACTTTGGGATAGTTTTTAACCATTTTTGCTTATCTTGGTGCTCAATTTTAAAATACTTCTTAGTTAAAATTGAATTATTTTAGGACTATTTTGGACTACACTTGAGAATAATTTTGAGTTATTTTAAGCTATTTTTTTTGGCAATTTTTGGCCAATGTCAAGATTAAGCTAATTATTGACTAATTTTTATATGACTTAGAGTAATTGATTTTTACATTAATACGAATTATTCTTCGAATATTTTGATTATAAATTATAGGCCCCGTTAGGCAATATTTCTCTTGTTACATCGTCCTTCAAATTCATGAACACGTATGCCTTACTTCCCATGTGAGAGCAAGGGCATTTTAGACATTTTCTCCCACCTAATAAACTCCACCCTTATGGCTTTCCTCTTCATTTAACTTCTCTCTACCATCACACAACTAAGGAGTAGTGCACATTGAATTTTTTGCAAAAACAACAAAGGTGAACACTTGTTTTGCACCATTTTTGTTTATTGTCGACGGTAAACGTTGCTTTGCTTATCTTTCTTATCATCGTTTTTCCGTTGTTACTGAATACTCTGTTTTGCCTCTCATTTGATTTTCCTCTCTACCAGTATTATTTCAAGGTAAACGTTACAACAATTCTTGGACGTCTGTTTACCGACAACTAAGTATGATTTATTTTCCCAACTTCCCAACGATTTGAACTTCCATCTACCGTGAAATTCTTAATGATATGAGCTTCTGTCTACTCCTTTTTTCCAATTCCCAACCTGAGTTGCATGAAATGAGACCAGATTGGTTTTCATAACCCTAACTACTTCCTAACGATCTGAAATTCTGTCTACCCTAAAATTCCTAATGATCTAAGCTTCCGTTTACTCCTTTTCCCAACTCCCAACCTAGGTTCCCCTAGAATTGATCTTGTAGTTCAGTGTTCCTATTGAGTATCCATAATTATTCATTTTTTTATAGCTCAACTCAAATATAATTGGAAAATGAACCCTTATGATTAATGTGACTTGAGACTCATAATGGCACTTGTTTTTTGTTAATTTTAGGTTTAATGACTTGCAACAATACAAAATATGTTGATAGATTTGCAGAATTAATAATAAGAAATACTTGTGCCATCCAAACGTTGTTTCTATTTCTATAGAACAGAAATTTGTTTCCGAGGACTAAATTGTCGAACATCTCTATTATTCTTGAAGACCAAGAAACGAAATTCCTGTTCCAGGTGGGAACATTGCCAAACGGGGCCTATTATTCTTGAGAATGTCCTTTTTAATGTTGTTTCATTAAAAAGTGGGGAAGAAATTATCCCTTCACCTTAGAGGAGTTAACTTCCTCCAAGATTGGGGAATAACCAACCTACCCTTCAAGCAAAAACTAACCACACCAAGATTTAACTTGCAATTGCTTTGCTAATTACAAATTCCTTCAGCATGCTGAAAACAAAGGTGCAGACACATTGAAAGAAAACCTCATTTCTGAATGGGTGTTAAGTGTCAATCCTATTTTTGCCATTATTTTACCTTCTAAAGACAATGTTTCTCTGATATTTATGAACCAGTAAACACCAAAAAGCAATCAAAAGTAGATAAACCAACTAGAGAGAAACAAAGCTAATCAAGCTTTGAGATAGGTACCAACATACAAATAACTACTGGTAAAAATGAGAAAAACTGCATCATCTTGTTCATGTGTCTCATCATGGCAATTAGTCATGTAGTTCTGTCGAGTTTCCGGCTGGGATGCTGCTGTTCATAAAGAACTGTTTTCCCTTATAATCTTTAATTATAAGGGAGAGGGAGAAAACAAGATTTATTTTAGCATTATCTTGAGAAGAAGTTCAACCCATATTCTACTTTCTCATTATTTATCCTATGTTTGTTATCTGCCTTAGGAGAACTCACCCCTAAAATCTATCTGTAAGAGGGAGGGAACCCAAGCACATAAATACCCCACAACAGCATCCCATTCTACCGATGTGGGATACCTCATGATGAGGGCGAATTCGGCCCCCCAAAGACATTGTGACACATGGCACCTCAGAACAACTAGGTGACACCCAGAACCACTCAGGCAACAACTTGCCAAGTTGATGGTGTCCAGCCTGGCGGCATGGCCCAAGTGCAACCTGGCGGCCTGGCCCAGGCGCCGACCTGGCAGCCTGGCCCAGGCGCGAACTGGTGACCTGGCACAGGCGCCAACCTGGCAACCTGCAAGACGTGCTCACCAACGAATTCGGCATGCATATCTTAACACTCCCACGATCCTTGGAAGTTGGCCCAGGTGCTGAACGATCCGGAGGGTGGTCAACGTGCATGGCGGTTACCTCTAGGAATCTCGGACCACTTAGACGACCTCATGGAAATCTCGGATGCGGTGCGTGAAGCCCACACAAAACAATGCCTATATAAAGGCACCAACCCCAATGGCATAGGGGGGGCAAGTAAGCATATTCTAGCTCTCATACTTTGTGATTTTTACCTCGTTGTCTACTATGAGAGTACTAACTTAAGCATCGGAGCGACGCCGCCGAGTTAGCCACCTCGGGTACTCTGACATTGGTTCCTCGCAAGTCTCTAAAGAACTACGAAGCTCAACAATCAATCCAGCTCGCCACCAACCAGCTCGGCACCTAATAGGCAGTTCGGCCACTTGGAAGCAGACCAAATGGTGAGGTACTTAGCACAAAAAATTCACACTCCACCGAAAATTGATTCATCAATTGGCGTCGTCTGTGGGAAATGCTACAAAAAGCTAAGTTCTCATCCTCTAAAAGGCTAAGTCCTCTTCTTCAGAAAGCTAAGTCCTCCTTTTTTAGAAACTAAAGCTCTCACTTTATAGTTTCCATTTTTTATGAACCCAAAGACTATGCAGGAAGTTTATAGCTAACAGACTAAGCAGCTCTACCAACTTTATTTCAACTCGGATAAAGCCTCAGCAGTCATCTTCACGAGGTCCCCTCTACAAAGATGAGCTCTTCATTGCTTCCGCGGGAGTTGGCGGCCAACAAATTGCATGGACGCCCTTGCTGGTCGAGCCTTCCAAAGATCCCGTGCGAGCTGGCGACCTAAAGTTAGTAGTGCTGACCCCATAGGTCGAGCTCCTAGTAACTTTTTGTAGGAGTGGGTGACCGGCGTCACGAGACTGATGTAATGCAGCCATAGCACTAAAGTACCGAACTGGCGAAGACCTTGGTACCACATAAGACCTAGTCGCCTCTTCAACATAGGCAAAGATCAAGGAGAGTGAACTACGAGTCGCTCCTAGAGCCTAAGGGCCAAAATACCGAACTAGCGAAGACCTCCTCACCACATGAGACCCAGTTGCCTCTTTAGCATGGGCAAAATCAAGGAGCGGACTATGAGTCGCTCCCAGAGCCTAAGGAATTGAATCGACACTTATGAGCTCATCGAATTAGTCATTTCAGGCCAAAAGGAGCAATCTACTCCATTCGCCGAGTTACTTTCAGCTCGGGAGTGGGGGGCAAATGATGAGGGCGGATTTGGCCCTCCAAAGGCATTGTGACACATGGCAACTTAGAACAACTAGGTGACAGCCGGAACCACTCTCAGGCAACAACTTGCCAAGTTGATGGTGTCCAGCCTGGTGGCATGGCCCAGGCGCGGCCTGGCAGCCTGGCACATGCGCCGACCTGGCAGCCTGGCCCAGGCACCGACCTGGTGGCCTGGTACAGGCGCCAACCTGGCGACCTGCGAGACGTTCTCACCGACGAATTCGACATGCATATCTTAACACTCCCACGATCCTTAGAAGTTGGCCCACGTGCCGAACGATTCGGAGGGTGGTCAACGTGCATGGCGGTTACCTCCGGGAATCTCGGACCACTTAGACGACTTCGCGGAAATCTCGGATGCGGTGCGTGAAGCCCACGCCAAACAATGCCTATATAAAGGCACCAACCCCAATGGCATAGGGGGGGGGCAAGTAAGCATATTCTAGCTCTCATACTTTGTGATTTTTACCTTGCAGTCTACTATGAGAGTACTGACTTAAGCATCGGAGTGACCTCGTCGGGTTAGCCACCCTAGGTCCTCTGACATTGGTTGCTTGCAGGTCTCTAAAGAACTACGAAGCTCAACAATCAATCCAGCTCACCACCAACCAACTCGGCACCTAATAGGCAGCTCGGCACCTGGTCATCCCAGCACCTCACAAGCAGCTTGACACCTCCCAGGCAACTCGGCACATGGTCAGCCCGGCACCTCATAGGCAGCTCGACACTATAGTCAGCTCGCCACCTAGCCTGCCCAGCTCGACTCAGCTCGACAGCCAAAGTTCACTTTGGCCTGAGTCATCGACCACTTGGAAGCAGACCAAATGACGAGGTACTTAGCACAAAAAATTGGCCGATCTGAGAAACGTGGNCGGCACCTCATAGGCAGCTCGACACTATAGTCAGCTCGCCACCTAGCCTGCCCAGCTCGACTCAGCTCGACAGCCAAAGTTCTCCACTTCAGCCTGAGTCATCGGCCACTTGGAAGCATACCAAATGATGAGGTACTTAGCACAAAAAATTCACACTCCACCAAAAATTGATTCATCACCTCACATTAGCATACCATACTACCAAAATTTGTGACAGTTTGGTTTGATAGAAAATAAGTGATAAAACAGAAAGTTGAGGAAAAGTTCTTTAACAAAATTTGTGAAATTCCTTAACTTAAGAACTTAGCCTCAACTTTCTGTTTCTCTCTTATTTTCTATCAAACAAAATGCAGCCTTAAGGCTTCCGTTTGAGCAAATAACCAAAAAATAGAGTCAATTGTTAGCTATCACAGTCGATCATCTACAAATTACAAGCCAAATGCACAAGAAAATGAGGGCAGAGTTTGACACTGACAGCTTTCTCAGCTGCCTCTAAAAGGGGAAAGACAAATGCAGCGAATAAACAGCGTGATAGAAAAAGAAATTAGACTTTCATGTTCAGTTCAGCCTGCAATGAAAGTCCCCCATTAACGAAAGAAGTGGTGGATGAGATGGGTGCATGGAACCAGTGATATCAGTGATCTTTGATGCCTAAAGAAGTGGTGGTTGAGAATCTTGGATTGTTTCTGAGGAGGATCTGCAGAGATCATTATGACATTTAAAGAATGTAGCCAATCTTTAAAGAATATCCCCTCCCCCATTAACGAAGATGTGTAGAAAACTGCAAGAAAGTGCCAATACTTTTGTTAGAGCTAGTCACATCATTCACCAATATAGTCAACGGAAGGAATTCAAAATCTCATTGCCAAGAAATGTTGGGAATAAATAGTTTTTGCAATTTAATGAAGAAAGCTGTTGGGTCTGATTCACAACCTCACTGAAGGTTTCCAGGATACCTGCATCACGTAGTCAATCTCTCTTGTATTACCATACAAAAGGACTTCTAAAGAATTGAACTCTGCAACCCATCTAGCTCAGAAACTTCCAGCTACCACTACCAGAACAATCATATCAAAGTTGATTGTATCTGGTTTGGGACTCTGGGGAGTGTATTACCCTTTTAGCTTCCACCCATGATTAATTCGACCTGCCAATCAAGACACAAATACTCCGATTCTCCATTGAACCATCTACCTTTTTAAAGAACTATGACTTCAGTTCACACCCATCAGGATATACTTGAGTCATAATTACACTTTTATAGAGAATGAAACCAGACACTTTTTAAAGATCAACTAGGCAAGAGATGGAATTCTGAAGCTCCACCATTCATTCAATTCACTATTACAGGTAGTAAGTAATATACACACAAAACACTCTGAAAGGAAAAACAAAAAAAGAAACTTACATTCAATGTAAACTTCCCTCAATACACGGCAACTCTTAAATCAAAACCATAACCAGCAACATAAGCACTAAGCCCAATCCTTGGCAGATATTTCTTCTGGCCCCAGACAGCCCCCACACCCTAATGTCGTCGATCACAGGCCCACAGAGGGAGCTATGGTCATCGCTCCTTGTGTTGTAATACACGCTATAGAATGCTACGCGTGTCCACTCGGCCTTTGCTGCGAATGTAAGGTTTGCAGTCGCAAAGGACTCGTTTGCAATAGGCAGGTAATGGACGTTTTGCGCTTGGTCTCCTGCGAAGGCCATCACCGCCAAGGGCTGCTGGCATGAGTCCCCAGCTTGTCCCAGTGAAAACGAGAGACTGTATTCTTTCTGGGGCGTGGTTTCTACCATCTGAGAGATGATACCCTCCTTCCCAGAGAGCAATTCAATAGCCCGTTTTCCCTGGGGAACAGAAAAATGATTCACGTCGATGTACCTGACTGCCCTATTGGACTCGACGATCCAACCAGGCAATGAGGATGCCTCTTCGTCAAGGTTCCTGGGTAGCAAGACGCCTAGCGACCCATTCTTGAACATCCATGGACCTTCTTCGAAGTCGCCATTAACGATAACATTGCCTGCAACATTGAGAAACATGTCAAACACGGTTTTCTGAGGGGACCCATTTGGCCATTTGCAATTCTTATACGAGAAACGCATAGAACAGAATTAGACCTGTGGGTTTATCAGGCGTGAAAAGCTTCTTTATGGCAATGTCGTCAATGATGGGGCCGCATGCTGGATCGTCTTCCATGCCAGGGTTCCGGAACACCAAGGTTGCGTCTTCGGACTCGGCCAGGAAGGCCCACGCATATGAATCCCATCCCTGCACACTGTAAAGGGTCTGGAGATCGATGTTGTGGGAAGCTGGGGGTACAGAGACATTGAGAGATTCCAACTGGGCACATGTCCTAGCAGCGCTGAAGGTGACAGAGTACAGGGATCCCTTCTCAAGCTTGATGTCCTGGCTTATCTCTGCGTCATTGCCGAGCCTCACCGCATGCACACCTTGAGGTACTATAAGGATCATCCCACCTTGTTTTTGGCCTGATTCAACCAATTCCACTACCCCATTTGAATTCCAATCAGGAATAGAAGTCGGGCCATCTCCAACACCAGAGAATCCATTTGTTGGAGCCTTCTCGAAATCACCATTGACAAGTGGACCTGCAAATCACAGCGACATACATTCATCAATCATCAAACACCTTCTCTACACATTGTGATGTAATTTGATTGACCGCAGGCCCGGCCGACCGGCGTATTGGGATCTCCTGCCCACAAGAACCCTGTCCACACATCAGTATAGCCATACATTGAGAACATTTCCCGTATTTGTATATATTACCATTCATAGAGAGATGTTCCCGAAGTGGGTAGGAGATCCGGATTTCCAGCCAGGGTGCCCCGCTAGAGGTCCGGTTGTAGGGCCACAAGTTGATGGAATCAAATCGAATATAGGTAGATCCAAATTTGATTTGTATAATGTGTGAATTCGAATCAGATCTTATTAATCAAATTTATATCAGATTCAAATTAATATAACTAAATTAAGTTAAAAATGATCAAACTATTATATATTATTAATAAATTGAACGAAAAATGATTTTGATATTGTAATTCATAAATAAAATGAATTGAAAATTATTTATATGAAACTTAAACCTATGACAATTTAATAAAACCACAATTTTAAAAGAGTACAGATGCAAATATATGTACAGTATAAATATATATATATATACAAAATAAAACAAAATACAAGGTTTTACAGGATAGAATAGAGATGGATCTGATTCGATCCAATTATAAATGAATCAAATACGGATCACCTTAGCTTAAAAAGGTTGCAATTCAGACAATAAGATATCACTTGTTATCCTACTGGGTTGGTTCTAGATTTTTTTTAATGGACTGAGCCCAGCCCATCTAAATTTGGTCCAAACCCGATCCATTGGCAGCCCTGCTCCAAATTCCAAAACGCGTGATAGCAAAAGAAAGTGGTCCTTATTAAAAATGGGGGGCCTGGACAAATGGTGGGACCCTACGGAGGAGCAGAAGTAGAAAATGTTTGGACTTTGGACTGACTTTGATCTTAAAAATCTCAAAGGATACGATGGACAAATCGAGAGAATTAAAATATTAAAGAATGTGAGGTGGGGTTGTCGTTTTCTGGGATATAATCAGTGGATGTGAGGTCGACAATGAAGGGGCCATTAGCCATGCAACGATAGAGACTTGGAGAACGTAATCAGGTACGGCCAAAGTGTGCCCCCAGATCTCTAATGCACACCGTAGCTGCAATAGAGACAGAGCAGAGATGGTCCCCAGGCCCAGTAATAACCAGTAAGAAAAAAAAAACCCAGATCTAATAAGGCCTTGTGAAAAAATGTTAAAAGGACTTTGTCATTGAACTAACTCTGTTGATTACATTAAAATGACCATTACCCAATAATATTCCAGATCTGCTACTTACCCATTAGGGTGATTTTGCATTGGATTCCTCATAATAGCTCACATTCAAGCGTTTAACTACATATTGGAGTCATCAACCGAGGTCTGGTTCATTGGTGTGTTATTTGGTTTGTTTCAATGCTAGTGTGGAATCAAATCCCCAATTAGTATTTGGAGAAAACGGGGCCAGGGGAAAATTATTAATGGAATATCGGAAGAAAAAAAAAAAACTATGGATTGGAATCTAAATCTGCTGCTACCTGCAAATCCATGCAATAGGGAAATATCTCAGTTGCCATTGAGGCCTTGTCACTTGTTCAAGAGGCCAGTATCCATGGCCAGTTAGATGTTTTTCTGGAAAATACTTACCTGGATAAATTCAATTGTGCATGTTCTTTTAATTCTTAAATAAATTATATAATAATTTCTTTTATTCATTAAAACTAATGTTAGAATGGACAAAATTGTTTCACTATGTTTTGTAAACTTTTCACCCAAATGGACAAAATTGTTTCACTATTCAATTGTGCACGGTGGGATGTGCCTTGTGAAGTCGTTGTGAGGGCACCCTGTGTGAGGAGCAGATCCCAATTCCATAGATGCCCAGTCTTTTGAAAAGGGTAGTAGCTAAAATTAACTTGAAAGAAGCATGGTAATGGTTGTGAAGGTTTAGTCCCTTAGTAATTCTTCCTGAAAGCACAAGTTTAATACAAATAATCATAAGCATTGGAGCTCAGTTGGGTCTATTTGTTTCAGACAAAGCTCATATATCAGCTTCAGAGCTGCTACTGCTGTAAAATGAAAGGAGGCATGACAGCCTTACTTTTTAACTTGTAGCCCAAGAGGCCAAGACCGTCCAATAATCCTAGCTAGCCTACAAACCAAAAGCACTAATGCCATGGAACAAGAGGGAGAGAGAGATTAATATTTCTTTCCTATCAAAAGCAGCACTGGGCTCTATTGGAAAAGCTGATTCAAGCATGAAATCTTCTTTTGGTGATTATAATAACTTTTGAACTTCACCTTCAGCAAATGACTCGAACACACTGAACCAATTATGGCTTCTGATTTCCTTTTCACTTTCTTGGAACAAGAAAAACAAATGGAAAGAAAACTGAGCATCATCAACACACATTAAAAGAGAACCCACATTGGACTGTTCTCAAAGCTTTCAGGTTCTTCTATTAATGTCAACAGAATTAACACATTCTTAACTAAAATCTGTAAAACCAATTACGGTTTGTTCAGCAACAAAGGGGAAAACGCAGTCCCATAGAAGACAAGACAGAGACTGGAAATCATCACTAAAAGATCCTCAAACCCAGAAAAGAAAATTCCCAATGACAGACTAATAAAGTAATTTCATGAATCTAAACAGAACTGCAGGCCTAGGAGGAGCTTCAGATAGATAGAAGAGTTAGAAGTAGGAGAGAGAGAGAGAGAGAGAGAGAGCATACCATCTTCTACTGCTGCTAGAGCTAAACGAGCAACCAAGAGCAAAAACAGAGGAACCCATCTGCTGCAACTCCAGCACCGAGCCATTTTCAAAGGCCAAACCCACTAACAGCCTCTACTGTCACCGATAGAAGCGAGGGAGAAAGGCAGACAACAAGAGAGGGACGCAGGGAAGAGTGGTTCTACTTCTGTGGCCTTTTAATCTGGAACCGAACGAGAGATTCCAGCTTTATTTGCTGCCTTTATTAGTTTAGAATTTAGATTAAGTAAACCAAATACTTCAACTTTCCAAATTTAAGAGAAAGGACTTGGGATCTGTTTTGCCTTCTTTCTACCTTAAAATAATAGAAGAAATCAAGAAATGGAGTTCCCTCTTGCCCGGTTCACCTCCTTCCCGCTGTTCTTGACAGCGACGGAAGCATTTGCCAGTTGTGAGCTTTTTCTTATGTCTTATTTTGGAAGGATTACAAATATAAATATGTAGAGCAGAAAACCTTGTATTTTGTATTATTTTTTATGTATTTGCATTGTACATATTTCTATTTGTACTTCTTCCAAAGGGAGCCATTTACAAAGACACCTATTCCAAACGGAGCCATTTACAAAGACATCTCACCATGAGACTGGGACCCACCATGTATACGATGTGTGGTGTATGATCATGTTGATAGAGGGTTGGAACATGTTTTGTGGGTAATTTTTGGGTTTTATCGAGACAAGTCTTGTTACCTATAATCGCTTTTATATATGGGCAAATCTCTTAAAGTACCCTTGAGTTTTAGGAAATTGACTAATTCTTCCCCTATTATTCACATATTGTCTTAAAGTATCTTAAATTTTCTGACAATTGACTAAATCCTCCCCTGTCATTGGTAGACCTATTTACAAGTTGGGTCGAGCTGAGTTCAGGCTTAAAACTCAAGCCCGGCCCTCATATAAAGCCCGAAGTCTAGCAAAAAATAAAAAAAAAGTGATTATTTTTTCTTTTTTATTCAATAAAAACTGATTATTAAATATGTTTTTTCATTATATAATGTATTATTAGGTCTGTTAGACTCTGGCTTGGGCTCAGGCTGGACTTTTTTGAGAAAACCTGAATTTAACCCTAAAAAAAAAAAAAAGAAGGTCAACCTTGGTGTTTTGAAACTAAATAATGAATATTTACAACACATTAAATCAAGATTTCAACCTATCCCGTTAAAGACATCATATGATCTTATTTTACTTTTTATTGGTTTATATTTCGATGTACTTAATGTAGGCATACATGGTAGGCCTTGGATTGCGCCACGTTGCATCGGCCAAATGACATCCTGACCACACATCTCTAACTGCCTCCAACCACTCCAAGGCAAGATCAGCTATAAGAGGGGGTCCTTATCTCAGGGTAAAGACACTTACACATACACAGACACTTGCTATCTGACGTGTACTCTTCTCTTGCTTATAGGTTGGACCCGTTGGTCTCAGACACCAACGTGTGGTGAACTGTGGATTCATTGTAGACCTACGATGTAGTATAAGTTCATCGCAGAGGAAAGATGAGCTACAGGCTGATCGCAAGTGTCCATATGGCATCAATCTAATATTTTCTGTGCTCTAAGGGACTGAGTAAACACTATATACCTACACCAGCAAAATTCCCTTATTACTCTCGGCCTCATCTTTCGCAACAACAATAATTATTATGAAAACCTTAACAACTTTAAACATATTAGCTGTGACACTTTATCAGTGGTTCACAGTTTTTGGTCATGGTGCATCCCATGGGCTATAAAATTTGCATTGAAAAATAAAAAATAGAAGAAAAAAACAAAACTCCTGGCTACTTCATATAAGTGCAATGGTTGAAACAGCGAACTTATTTTTGTTTTATTTTTCAGTACTATGTCCTGAGTGGGTACTGATGATATGAAACGATTAACCGTACAGTTTGGACTTTGCACTCAACCTTTTGCTCTTCAACCGTAGCTTTCTTTGTGTACATAAAAAATTGTACATGAAATGAGGATCTGAAAATGTCTCACTATTAACAAATAAAAGATATGAAGCGAGTGAGCTTCCAAATGATGATATGATGTCGACCTTGTAACTTGTTTTCTATTATATTGGTCGAATCATTCCGATTAATTGGCATGAGATTGTGGGTGTTAATGAGTGACTTAAATAGGTAGATTAATTTATCAATTTTATAGTTTAGATTGGTAACCCATTTGGTGCCTCTCCTATTCCATTGGGCAGTACTGTTTGACCATGCTTATTTTTGGTATAGGAGTTGATTTGTTTGGACCCTTCAATCATCTCTAACTTCAATGGCGGGTCCATGTAAGCGGATCTAATTTGAATAGAATCAGGCAATATCTAAATTTGAATGATTAGAAAATTTGATATCTAAATTCGATTTGATATTTGACGGATATTAAAAATTAATATTTTAATTCAACCAATTAATTATTTTAGGTAATTAATAAGTATATAAAATAAATATTTTATTTATATAAATATATACATTATATATAATTTAATTATTTTATATATAAATTATATAAAACATTTATATATTTTATATAAGAATTAAATAATTGATCGAATTCGGATACTTATCAAATCAAATTAGGTCATATCCAAATTCGACCGATTAGATATTTGAATTATCCGAATTTAATTCAATTATATCGAACCTCGAATTCAAAGTCGAATTTTTGAATACCATTGACACCCTTGTTCCTGATTCTGAAAACACTATTCAGATGACAAGTTAGAAGAATCAGACCCATCTACATGTTCTCTGTGGTTGCATGGATCAGGGAGCTCCCAAATGATCAATCCTATAGTTAGTAGCCATATATATCCACCCTATACTTATTAGCAGGTGGTAACACTTAGCCCCCCGAACTTTGTTTTGCAAAATGGACAGCCCATTAATGAACTTTCAAATTCTAGTACTTCGGCCCCTGACTTGCTAATGGGGTTGATAATGAAAGTAAAATTACTAGATTGCCCATTTAAGATTTTATGGGCTGATAATTGTTGGATTTTAATAATTAGAGATTATACTCAATGGGGTTTGATTGATCAATTACATGAAAAACACACCTATACACATATCTTGGAAAATAGTTTTTTTATTAAAACTAGTTTTAAACTTCTCCCATATTGGAAAATTACTATACTTGTTTTGAGTTTTTAAATAAGAGCTTATTTACACTCCTTAGAAATATAAGAGAGTATGGAGGCTTGCTACCGTGCAATGCGTGTGCACACGCATGTGGCGTGTGTGTGTGCAGCACAATGAGACACTTTAGAGGCATGTGGTTCGCATAAGACAACTTTGACTGTTAATTACCTTTTAATAGTCACAATGTTTGAAATTGTGATTGTTCAAAGAGCCTTTTTTGAACCACTTTCCTCTGCTCCATGACTCTTCAAATATTATTTAAGGAGCGTAAATCAAGCAAATGAACACAAGTTTTCAAAAATCACTCATGTCTCTCTCAGTTCGATTTCCTACTATCTCACAAAAGGTTTCTTTGGAGACTCTTCAACTTTGTTGGTTGTAGATTCTCGCCCAAGGCTCTATTGTATCCTAGGAATGGATTTGCCTGTAACCCAACAGCAAACTTAGTAAAACTGAGTGGAGGCAAATTATGTTCTAAAGACAGTGCCTTTAGACACACCTCGGATATGGGTGCAAATGGATCGGATCATGATCTGATCTGATCTGATCCGAGACCCAATCCTATTTGGTCGAATTCGGATCTCCCCATGTCGGATCTTCAAATTGGATTGGATTCAGATCACCCCTACCTGACCTGATGTGTTATATATTAATAAATATATATAATACATATATATATATGTTATTTATTTTATAAATGTATTATTTATATTGTATTTTTATAAATTTGTTATATTATTTATTTTTTATAAAAGAACATGTATATATATGATGAAAATAATTAAAAAATATTTTTATTTTTTGTTTATCTTTATTTAACTTGGTATATTTTATTTTTTTTAATAATTTATTAATTTTTAAAGAAAACAAGTCGGATCAAATCAGATTTGATAGGATTTGAATTCAGATCGAGTCTTATCAGATTCGATCAGATATTCGGATCAGAACAAATCCAACACGAATAGTATCAGATCGGTTTTGAATTATCCTAATTCGAATCCGATCCGATCCATTTGCATCCCTAGCCTCAAAGCTTCTCCTCCAAGTTTATGTGACCCCATTTTCCCAAAAATAATAACTATCATAATGTTGAAATAACATTTCTAAAGCATAATCTTTATTAAAGACCTTTTGAAAATGAATTTTGTTGAAAGAAAATAGAGAGAAACATGTGAGAATTAATTAGAATTTTAGAAAACTAGTCAAAAGGACAAAGTGATCTCATAAAATAAGGGTACTTTGGGGTTTGAAAATGTTTAAAGAACATCTAATGAAATGAAAGGGCTGTTTGACAAGTCTTTTTAGGAAGATCTTTTCACAACCTAGATGGCCAAAAGATATAATGATGAGCTTTTGGGGTTATTTTTAAAGATCTAAACGGTTTGGTAAGTGTACTATTATACCATGGTCTACATAACTATTAAATGAAAGATTTTAATTAGGTGTAGATAGGCAGGAAGCTTCAAAATAAAGCTTCTAGATTTTTGGCAATTTTAGGCTTCTATGAACTTCTTAGGACACAGGTCTTTTTGACTTCTCCTCTTTATTTATTGCTAAAGACATTGGTTTGGTCTTCCAAGCTTTGAAAAGCCTGAAAGAACATACAAAATATGTGCCAAATGCCCCCGAAGTTAACCAACAAAATGCTAAAATTGAGGGCAAAGTGTTGGAATCCAAAAGTTGGGTTGTTTTGTTGGTTTGCTGCAAAACAAAGTTTGGGGAGGGGTAAATGTCACCACTCCTTAAACACTATGTTTGGTTTGAAGGAAAGAGTAGGGAAGGGAAGGGAAATGCAAGGAAACCTATGGCTGCATTTGGAAACGATGCAAATGGAGTATAAATCCCAGTTCAGAGTAAATTTGCACTCTGGTTCATTTTTGCATGTGTTTGGCAACATTACATTTATGCATTGACAAATGACAGACCAATGCATATTTTCATTGATAATAAGATGTAAGAATACATCAATAAAAAAGAAATAAATTTGCATTCAAGTGGGCTTGTTATAAAAAAAAAAAAAAAAGCATATGCTTTATTGGAATTCATGTTTGCACCCATTACAGCTAAAGTCTGTTTGGTAAGAAAGTAAATTTGTAAGTGCAAAACTAACACAATTTTACAATTTATATGAACCGCTTTACAGTCTACATATTTGTATTCACACCTATTTGCATCACTTCCAAAC